AGACTGGTTTACATACAGACAGACTTGTGGACACATAGACAGACTGTTGGACATGTGGAATGACTGGTGAATACGTAGACAGACTGGTGAACATGTAGACAGGCTTGTGAATATGTAGACAGACTAGTGAACATGTAGACAGACTGGTGGACACAAAGACAGACTGGTGAACATGTGGAATGACTGGTGAACATGCAGGAGATTAGTGAACATGTACAGACTGGTGAATATGGGTACATAGACATACTGGTGAACATGAAGACAGACTAGTGGAAACATAGACAGACTGTTGAATATGTGGAATGACTGGTGGACATGTTTACGGATGGAACGTTTCAGCCTATCATATGTTAACGGGTTGCAATTTTATCAATATTTTCAACAATATATTAATGGGTCAAAATATCTTTATGAATATGAAATAAATGTATTCCTGTTAATCTTCAATGATTACAGTAGTATTTTATCATTACCAGTAAATATGAATAGGAACATATTTTCATGTCGGCCATACGAATAGATTGGATTTTTGACACTCAATATATGAATGGGGAATTTTCGAATGCAAACCTGTAACAAGATATAGGTGTCCCATCCCACTCCTTGGCCACATGCCGTTTAAGTGACTTAAGTGTTAACAAAACGAACACAATTTGTACCCAATATTTCTTTAAAAATAATGAAAACAACACGTTATAAATTTCATGCGTCCGAAGCGCTTTTCTGGATTAACCTTCATCTTTATTAGAAACGCTCAAAGCCGAATATTCGAATGCCAAGGATGTATGAGGACCGAAAACGTGGAAGAGCTATAAACCAAAAAGTACCTAAAAAAATAGCCAAATCCATCTAAGGCCAACTTTGCCTGAGGGAGTTGAAACCTTAGTTTCTGTGTAATTTCAAAATTTATAAACGGGTAATTTTAGATATTTTGTTATAAATCATGTCAGTATCGAAGTACTGAATACTGAGCTTATGATACCCTCGGGGCCTGACAGTCCACCAGCAGAGATGTCGACTCAGTGCTCAAAGCATCCAAAGCCGAAAAACAGATAATTTTAGCATTTCAGAGATCAATCATTTCTTAAAAAAATACAGAATATATACATAAATAGCCGTGCAATTTTGATGTTTATATTATGTATATAGTGAAATCTATACGAGGGGGGTGGGGGTATGGGCATGGGGAAAGTGGTTATATGCATACGTTTTGTCAAATTTCCGCGGGGGAAGAATAGCATTGATCCAAAATTTCCCCGGGGGGAAATGAGATCATGCCAGGGAAAAACTGGCATGGGGAAAGAATGGCTATATAACACTGGCCTGAATAACTTTGACCCGAATATATCACCGACGTCATAATGAATGAACCGACGTTGATAAGTCTGACCCGAACGTATCAAGACATCTTCCAGTTTGCTGGTGAAACAAAGAAAAACACTTCTTTCTATCATGCAAAATCACAAATGCAATCTGATAAATCGATTATCAGATTTTCATTTTATCTATATTGTAAAATATTAGTTGCTGGAAACAATACGAAGTCTTTTTGAACTCGTTCGTTGTGCTCACTCTACAAAAGGCTTCATATGGTGTCTCGCAGCTGATATTTTACAATATCAATATGCAGACAACCTGATAATCGGTACAAACTAGGACTTTGATATAATACACCTTTTCGAGATACAACAGGAATTAATCTTATTCTTAGGATCAGCTCTTTATCCTCATTCTAAAAAAAGTATAACAAAAATACCGAACTCCAAGGTAAATTCAAAAAGGGGAAGTCCATAGAAACTGACAAAATCAAACGTCATCAACCAACGGAACAAGTAGAAAGCAACTGTCATATTCCTCACTTCGTACAGACATTTTCCGAAAAAAAAGTGGATTAAACCTGGTTTTATAGCTATCTGAACCCCCTACTTGTATAACAGTTGTTTATAGTTCCTTTATACTGACAACATTGGGTGAACAATCTAAATTTAAAAAGTAACTGGATGACCTTCAACCTCAAGATAAAGAACTCGTCCCTTACGGCACCAAGTTCATTCTCATAATATTTTCAATACTGCATGTTTTCCAAAATGTATCATTTGTTGTTCTTTGTTGTTTATGGGTAGCTGTCTCGTTGAAATTTAACTATTAGTATTTTAATTCAGATATATCTTTTTAAACAGAAGATGAATACAAAATTTTAGCAATTCCAATTGACGACAATACAAATGATAAAATCTTTATACAAGAAGATAATTTAATATCATTAATAAATGTATTTAGGTATTTACACAATCATAGAGGTATCCCCGACATAAGTAATGTTTATAAGTTCATTAGTAGAGGTAATTTACACAATTTATACCAATAAACACATGGATACATGATGATTATATATCTACCACTCTGGTATGTGATCATTCTCCTTTCTCTAATTAGCTAATGTTATCACTAATTCTATCATTCCTTCTCAAACTCAATTTATTGACAAAAGCACTAACGCTGAGTGGTTCGGTCCTTTAATTGAAGATACATAATAGTTTTACAATGTTGTAAGTTCTTCTAGCATGGTGTTATATTCGCATATCAAAAGAAGGCTAATAGTAAATAATGTCTCAAACCTGCATTCCAGCATGTGAAAAATATAATAATGCTTTTTCTTCAAATGAAACAAAAGTCGTAAAAAATTTAGATCTGCACATTTATATGAACAGACCATAATATTCTAACAAGAGAAACCCGGCTTTTAATTGTTAGAAAGATTCAATAGTTTATTAATTAGAAATTAGACCTTTGCAGATCTTACATTACTATAGTTACTTATTACAATGTCAATCTTTAGATATGTTTCATTTCCTTCTGACATCGTTTAAGAACACTTCCATTTTTCGTGTTGCAATCACGGACTTTCCACCTCAACGCCATTACTCAATATATATATATATATATATAGCACCATTTTTTTGCTGAACCAGAATATTGTTTATCGCTTCACAGATAGTCAATTAACACTATGATTAAATAATTAGTGTATTTGTTTGTGCACATAACATTGTATTATATTGTGTTTACTTCCCGTACGCACTAAATAAACCCATTGCTACACTATGTTCATGTGCTTTTAATCGTAAGGCAGCTATACTGGTACTCCGCCGTTCGGTAGGCTCACATTCAAACGATGGCGACTGGGTACCATTTAATGAGATGGGTGATTGATGGAGTCCTGTCTGGGATGGCGGGAAGTGTCCCGGATGAGCAAGGTTCATGAAACTTGGTACTTGCGAATGGTTTACCATACAATTTGAATTCTGCATTGAGTATGGCATCTGGTGCCCTCCCATCCAAGGATTGTGCTGTATCTACAATAAGATATATAAAAATAATAAATAAAAAATTACAGTGAATCAAAAACAATAACAACAGTTATATTTAGTATAGTATGGTTTTATTCAGGCAAATTCAAGCACATATATTAAAATTCACAAGACAAAACAAGACAAATAATATATATATATATATAATAGTATCATAATATATTTTAAAAACAGTGCTTAGAAAGAAGCCTGGGATATCCCATAAAAGCTTACATAGTATAGATTATGTCCAATGGGGTCCCTTGTTTGAAAAAATATATAAAAATAATATTTCAAATTATATGTTAAAATTTGACTATCACCAAACAATAGAATAATTATATTTCATATCACAGACATCACATTGATCGTTTAAACTTTAATAATTATTTAGTCAATATAAAAATATGGAGATGTGGTATGATTGCCAAAGAAACAACTATCCGCTATAGGTCATTGTATAGCCTTTAACAATAAGTAAAACCCATACTGTATAGTCATCTTTAAAATGTCCCAACACGACAACATGTAAAACATTTCAAGCAAAAAAATACAACGATCTAATTTATAACAAAACTATTAAAGAAAAACAAATATAACACACATCAACCAACGACAACAACTGAATTCTGACTTTGACAAATAATTTTGAAGTGAACCATTTGTCCCGAAAATAACCGATTGGAAATAATAATGTGTGTCAAATTTAAAACAGTATGGTTAGAGTATATGTTTGTTTATTTTCAGTTTTAAAAGAAACAAATAGAAATATGACAAAAATTGACATACAAGACAATAGTTTCTACTTTACATCTTGTTGACGTTTGTCCTTGCTTAGCTTTATAAATACAGAATAAGAAACGGACTGACGACTCGATAAAGCAAATGAATAAAATATAAATTCATATTTTCAAATCTGATAAGAAAAAAATAATGTTATTAAGTATTTCATATATATAAAAAATAACTACAAATGTATGAAAGCTTGCATTCATTCAGATATGCGAACAAACTCTCATAAAGTTTGTAAACCCCGCGGGAAAGTTCTTATTATCAATATTTTAATTATAATAAATATTTTTCATTTATTCAGCTTTGAAGAATATTGAAAATGATATTTTCATATCAAAAAACAAAATAATAACATGGATGTAGCGAACGTTATTTGTAAATGACCATTTGTCTTTATTTGTTGGAAGATGGGTGCAGGGTTTTTCATTGTTTGTTGCGGTGGCAGGGTTGTAACTGTTCTCATTGTTTAATTATAGATTTCTAAAACTTTGACAAAAAAATATTTTATTTCAGATAAGAAATAATAAAATATTTTTATAAGGAAGATAAGTTAAAAAGATTAAAACAATATTAAATTCAAAATCACCTTCCTGTTAGATTTTGAAAAAAATATTTTGTTATACTTTATATAAGATGAGTAGTCAGCGCTGTGTGGCACCATTCACCATGGCCGCTGTAAGGTGACCGTTTTACTGTTAGCAATAATAATTAACATAACATAACATAAATTAAAGTTTGTAGTAATGGATAAAGCTTCGCCGGACCGTTACATCATTGAACATTCTTTGACGTCGACAGGGCGTCAGCCAATCATTTTACAGGCCAAGAAAATATTACAATATAATACTTCCATGTTTTAATTGATAAAAGAACGAAGCTGAGGCATTACAAGAATTAAGTTAATTGTAGCAATATTTGATAACTGCTTCGATTTGGGATTGATCTCGAGAATTTGAAGTCAAGTATTCAGAATTTTGTATAACAGTTGTAATACTTTAAAGTTTATAAATTAGAAAACAGGAATTGGATAATAAGAGTTTGAATCCATAATGTGGAATAATTGACCCACACTTGTAAAAATATTTCCTTTTTGCTAAACTTCGAATTGACTTGTATCTGTAGCAAATTGGAGCCATAACCCTAAAAACGCCATCGATAAAACTTAATGTAAATGTACGAGGAATGCTTATGTATAAATGCCAAACTTCTTTACTTATTAAAGGTCTGCATTGAATTGAAAATAAAAATTTGATTGGATAAATTGACAACAATATTTATGCATTTTCAATATTGAGTGTACCTATATTAATATCATACCTGTGAATATGATTCTGGTCTACCTAGTCCCATGTCAAACGGTCCCGATGTCATCCCTCTCATAGTTTGGATCTGGCCATAACGTTCTCGCTTCCTCCACTTGGCTCTTCTGTTCTGGAACCAGACCTAAAATCAACAAAGATGTAAATGATTGGATCAATCAATTCCTGTTTATTCATAAGGATTTCAAAATAATATCAATAATCCGTCTGGATCCACTGCTTATTGCAGGACAATACTATACAATGAATTAATCAAACAACTTGAACATGCACTATCTATTATATAAGGCTAAAAATGTCTCATTGAAAAAAAAACTTTGTCAAAAGGTATCACTTCAACCGGGCATAGTCGTAAGACCGACACCGAGAGAAGTCATCGTTCGATAATGAAAATATAAAATTTAATTTTTTCTCAAATTATTAGTAATAATTTTACTAAAGATATGCAAACTGTAATATAAAATTAAATTCATTTGCAGGAATTGTCACTTACAATATCAAATATCATGTCGTATGGTGAAAATATTATTAACAGGTGATGAGACTTTTGATAACTAGTATTTAAAAAAGTACAGAACGGGATATATAACGGGAAGTAACTCATGATTCTTAGAATTTGAAATGAATTGTCTGTGTATATAATCTTTGGTTCTATAGCAAGAAAACAAGCTTATTTTTTTTTTTCATTTTCTGCAAGTATTCAGTGAAAGCTATCTCTTCAAATTTTATTTTAAAATTCTATCCTCCAGTTTTCCTTCACTTCACATAATTGTGTGATTCTGTTATATTGTTTCATAATCTGCTCGAAATGAGAACATTTTGCATTAACTGTAGCTTGAAAACAAGCTCGGTGACATGGAATTTGTTTTCTTTGATAGTGTGTGATATAAGTTACATTTTGGCAAATTATAAAATAATTCTGCCATTTTGTGTTCCTTATCCTGAGCAACCGTTAGTAATATACGTCTGATGATTTACCAAACTAAATAGATTAAAAATTCAATGTTTAAAATGAAACCCAACAGCTAAAAAAAGTATCTATTAAGTTTCAGTAAATCGACAGCATGTCTTTGATACATTTGAGAAATTGATATGTTTTTGTTGAATAAGTTTCCTTTCAATCGATATCAAATAATCATAACATGACCAAATTAGTTTGATATATAAACCATTCATTATACTGTGTTAAACAACGATACAAGCAGCAAATATATTTTTCACTTTCATCAATAAGAAAATGTAGTTCGTACTTTGTGAGGTAGTTTCCACTTATGGTTTGATGAAATTTATTTAACAATTGAATGCTTCTTTTTGTAAATTCATTGGGGTGTAAAAGCGTTGACCGAAGTACATTTTGTATGAAGCGCGGAAGCGCTTCATTCTAAAAATGAACGCACGGTCAACGCTTTTGCAACCCTATGAAATTACTAAAAGAAGCATTCAATAGTTACGATACTGTTGTCATGTCATTTAAGATTGCATATTTTGGCTTTAATATTGATTCACTTATATGGTCTTTGCATCGGAATTAAACACATTTATTCTAAAACCAGTTGTTGGCATGACACGGGTTATGTTCTTCTCATATATTTTATGACGGTATAATACTAAACCCCTAACAGGAGGGATTGTGCCTGATATTCATATGATGAAGACATAATCTTTCAATCAGTTTAATTGAGATCTGGAGCTGGCATGTCAGTAACTGCTAGTAGTCTGTTGTTATTTATGTATTAGTCATTTTGTTTATTTTCTTTTGTTTCCTATTCTGACATCGGACTCGGACTTCTCTCATACTGAGTTTTACTGTGCGTACTGTTGTGCGTTTGTTTTTTCTACATTGGCTAGAGGTGTAGGGGGAGGGTTGAGATCTCAAAAAACATGTTTAACCCCGCCGCATTTTTGCGCCTGTCCCAAGTCAGGAGCCTCTGGTCTTTGTTAGTCTTGTATCATTTTTAATTTTAGTTTCCTGTGTATAATTTGGAGTTTAGTATGACGTCCATTATCACTGAACTAGTATACATATTTGTTAAGGGGCCAGCTGAAGGACGCCTCCGGGTGCGGGAGTTTCTCGCTGCATTGAAGACCCATTGGTGGCCTTCGGCTGTTGTCTGCTCTATGGTCGGGTTGTTGTCTCTTTGACATATCCCCATTTCCATTCTCAATTTTAATACTTATAATTACATTTTTTCGCTATGATCATGAAAACACGATTACTGTCATTTTTTTCTTGTATTTACCTGTGCACTTTATTGTGGAAACATGTGTCATCATGTATGTTACAATTCATGAAATTCATTTTGAAATGAAGAATGACGCGAGATTGCTGTTAGCCAATCAAAATAACGTAAAATAATGAAACATACATCTAATGTAATTATTCAATAGGAATACATAAGTTTTTCCTCCATTCCTCTTTTTGTATATTTCTCTTGGTTTTTGTCGAGCCTTCGACTTTAGTCGAAAAAGCGAGACTTAGCGATCCTACATTCCGTCGGCGTCGGCGTCGTCGTCGTCGTCGTCGTCGGCGGCGTCCACAAATATTCACTCTGTGGTTAAAGTTTTTGAAATTTTAATAACTTTCTTAAACTACCTTGGATTTCTACCAAACTTGGACAGAAGCTTGTTTATGATCATAAGATAGTATCCAGAAGTAAATTTTGTAAAAATAAAATTCCATTTTTTCCGTATTTTACTTATAAATGGACTTAGTTTTTCTGCCGGGAAATATTACATTCACTCTGTGGTTAAAGTTTTTAAAATTTTAATAACTTTCTTAAACTATCCTGGGTTTCTACCAAACTTGGACAGAAGCTTGTTTATGATCATAAGATAGTATCCAGAAGGAAATTTTGTAAAATAATAAATCCATTTTTTCCGTATTTTACTTTTAAATGGACTTAGATTTTCTGCCAGGAAACAACACATTCACTCTGTGGTTAAAGTTTTTAAAATTTTAATAACTTTCTTATACTATTTTGGATTTGTACCAAACTTGGACAGAAGCTTGTTTATGATCAAAAGCTAGTATCTAGAAGGAAATTTTGTAAAATAATAAATCCATTTTTTCCGTATTTTACTTATAAATGGACTTAGTTTTTCTGCCGGGAAATATTACATTCACTCTGTGGTTAAAGTTTTTAAAATTTTAATAACTTTCTTAAACTATCCTGGGTTTCTACCAAACTTGGACAGAAGCTTGTTTATGATCATAAGATAGTATCCAGAAGGAAATTTTGTAAAATAATAAATCCATTTTTTCCGTATTTTACTTTTAAATGGACTTAGATTTTCTGCCAGGAAACAACACATTCACTATAATAACTTTCTTATACTATTTTGGATTTGCACCAAACTTTAACAGAAGCTTGTTTATGATCAAATGCTAGTATCTAGAAGGAAATTTTGTTTTCTTCAAGTTAACATTACATTCAGTCTGCAGATAAAGTTTTTAAACATTTATTAGATTCATAAACTATCCTGGATTTTTACCAAACTTGGACAGAAACTTCTTACAATCAAAAGATAGTATCAAGAGGAATATTTTTATTGATTTACTTCCTCATTTTTGTTGAGCCTGCAATTAACAGAAAAAGTAGGCGAGACACTGGGTTCCGCGGAACCCTTACGAATATTTTTTTTTCATTTTGAGTTTTGTTTATCATTACTGATGTTTTGCAACTTTAACTTTGTTTATTTTTTCCAAATGTATATTCTTAAAACATTACGAGTGTAAATCGAGAGTTTCCAATCTAAAAAGTTAGCAACATTTATACATACACCTGAGTTTTTAAATCTGTATTACTTGTTAATTCTGTTAAATTTCTGAAATCTTATTCATGTAACTGATAAATTTCCGTACAGTCAGTGTATTAACGATACATTGGAAAAACCGCGAGTATTTAAAAAAACGAGCGTTCTCCGGAAACACAGTTTGTTTTTCATTGTATATTACAGCTATCCACCAAAAGACCAAACGATAAAGATATAATTAACAACAGATCACCGTATGGCCTTTGACAATTAACAGGACGTTAAGCAAGGAACAGTCAATCAATCAACAATGGGAAAAGCTCATGATACGCTATAAAATAACCAGAGATAACAAAATATCTTCAAAAGGTATTTGTATTTGCTCTTAGACTACATAATTTCATTTTCATATTATGTGAAATTTGAAAAATTCTTCGTTGCAAATTATGACATGTAAATCAAACTGTTACAAAAATTGATTCGTATGTATAAATAAATCATTAGAACTGTGGTTTGTATTAATTCTTATTGAACTTGGCATTGGTTATTGACACGGGCGTGTTCGTTAATTAACCACAAATGGCCATTCCATGTAATTAAACTCGTTACAGAGCCATTCGATCATGTAAAACCTCCACACCACGTGTTACCTGAATATAACATGAAATCAACACTACATCTTATCTCCAGATTTTAATGAAATAGTTAAGCAATCTAAATTAAGTAAATTGAACAAATAAGATAAGAGATATATGATAACTTTTTGATGGCGGAATGTTTTGAAGTTACAGATCATAAAAATATTTATTTTATTCAAAATTGCCAAGAAATTGATGATAATTATGATTTACATCAAAACACATCTGTTGTCATTATATATTTCAAAAATACTATTTAATTTACTGCAAATCAACTTATTCCAGATTAAAATAATTAGTTTGTATTTAATGTGATTTTTAAAGCAACTACACGAAAGTATATACAAACAATAACGCGGAGGAACATACTACACGCCCATGTTTTATTTAGGTATAGTCCACAAAACATTACTATACAAACATGAATCTCAATTTTCATTTTTCATGTCTGTTAACTCGGTATCGTTCTTACAAATGTTTTCAACTTTAATGAAAACGTCTCCGGAATGATTAACACAGTCATGTGTTTTTTCCACAAATTGTGAATATATAAAAATAAATTCAAACGAGAAAACCAACGGAAACCACTGAATCACGGGCTCCTGACTTGGGACGGTTGCATACAGAATGTGGTGGGTTAAACGTGTTTGCGAACGCTAAACCCCTCGGGCTCTGACCTGGAAGAGTGGTGTATAGCACCACAATATAAGAACAAACTAATAAACAAGTTGAA